ATGAAAACAAGTACACAGGAAGACACAAACAATCAATTCCGTCTATAAAGAAAAGAGGAAAAAAAAGGAAAGAAACTAAAAAAAGAAAAGAAGTGCCTGAGAGAGATACCTACCTGTTGTTTGTACATAGATTTAACATCTTGTAAATCCATTCTTAGTTCCTCTGCTTCTTCTTCTTTCTCTCCATACATCTGCAAAACTGCGTTATAACGTTGCTGCAAAACCTAAAAAAACAAAACAAAGTCTATCCAATGACCAATCATAACACAGCTTTTTGCAAGGTTTTGCACAACTCACATCATGCTTTTCTTTGAGKTCTTTGTATCTTTCGTTGCTAGTTTCCAATCTCTCTAACTTTTCTGTCAATAACGTCAGCTCTTCCATGACTGAATCACGTGATTGTCGCAGTGACGTCACATCGTCCTGAAATGAAAAAAATAAAACAATAAATAAAACAATAAATAAACAAATGAAAAATGACCTGAAGTAAATCGATGCAAAGTACCATATCAATGATGGTTTCACCTGTAATAATTCTATTTCGCCATCTTTTTGTCTAACTTGAGCCTGCAGTCTCTCTACCAGCGCTGTGGTACCTCCCATGATGCCTTTAGTGATACCATCCACGACCGTACTGCTAGAACTGCTTGTTCTTGAATGCTTTCTAACTGTCGATGGGTTACCTGTGGTATCTTGTTGCTGCAAATCAACCAAAGTGTGTGTGTACACATTATGATAGTAATAACAAGAATTTTACGATAATAATTTTAACATCCAAGCCAAATTCGGAAGGCAACAATGACTATATACCATATAGTTTGTCAGTTTTATAGCTTCCGCCAAATCAAAGATAGAAAACACCGGTTGGACAAGCCTTACCTGATTACTAGATCCGTCACTGGCTGGGAATGGTGTTGAAATGCCAGTAAAACCGGACTGACGAGAAAGAAGCTTTTCCTAAAATGAGACGATGAATTATACTATTAACTTAGTAATTTCGGTCAGAGMATCCGTCACTGAGGGCTCTTATTTAATTATATGCAAAGACAATGGGACTTCAGTGGTGGTGACCGTGGTCACAAAAAATGTTGGTTTATGATACCTTCTCGTCTAAGGCTGCTTTGAACTTCTTCACCTCAGTGTCCATCTTGCTTTTCTCTACTGTCAGTTGTTGTTCAAGATGCGCCTTGACAAAAAGAACAATAYATTCTATAATTCAATCACCTATCCGCAACCTATCTGCGTCCAAGCTAAATATAGGTTTTTGAGTATGAACGAAGGTATATATATGTATACATGTCTAAATACCTTATCTAGGTTTGCATCTTCTAGAAGTTTTTGATATTTTTTAACCATAGCATCATACTTTGCCGATTCCCTGCTCTGTGTGTCCTCAAGTGTTCCTATCTTTGTTCTCTCTAGTTCTAGATCAGCTTCAAGGCGAGACCGTTCAGCACGGTACGTGCTGACTTGAGATTCCAGCCTTGCTATGCGCGCATTGAGCTCAGAAACACTTTGTGATGCTATATGTTCTTTTTCTTGAGCCTGAAGAAGCTGGTTCTGCGCATCGTCTTGAAAAAAGGAAGTATTTTGTATCTTAACTGAATTTTATGGTATTAGAAAGGTAAAATCTATAAAATGCCATACTTAGCCGTTCTGTAAGGTTCTTCTCCACTTTTTCCCACGTAAATGCCTGCCCGCTATGAGTTGTCTGTAAGTTTTCAATTTGCCTTAATAATGGCCGGGTCGCTGGAAAACAAATCAAATTTTATCGAAATAATGTCTAATTTGCGTTACTAAGGACCAAGAAAAGTCGATTCCACCGCTTTCAAACCGGAACTTTTTTTTGTACACAAGCTAACCGCGCATAGGAATGGGAGGAGAGAGAATAGAAATGAGTTGAGATAAGAAAAATAAATACAAACCATGAGAAACACTTGCGGCCAGTTCTTGATTACGATCTTCTGCTTCTTGAAGACGCTGTACAAAAAAAGGAAACCAAAAAAGTATAGAAAAAAAAGTTAAAACTGGACAATCAGGTAAAAACTGGTTCATTTAGACTACACCAGTTTCACCAGAACAAGTATATCTCGTCAAACTGGTTGAAAGATCTGGTCAAACCTGTTGAAAATGCTTAATTTCCTGTCTAAGATGTTCTTCTCGTCGGGTGCCCTGTTGTTCAGAACGCGTTAGACTGGCCTGAAGGTCAGTTACTTGTAAGGCCATCATTTCGCTCTCTTGGTGAAATTCTCGTCTTGCTTTCTCTAGGGCTATGCGAAGTTCTTCTTTAGCTTTCATTTCAGTACTTAGAACTGCCTCCTGCATGAAATATGTGAAATTAATACAGCGCTGTGCAATGGTTTCGAAGATGGTGACTGTGAGCCATGGTTTTACTAATTGATGATGATGATGATGAAAAATAAATGATTAACAGTCATGCGTATGATTAGTCATGAAATTATTCCCATATGTTTAAAAATAATGAAGACACAATGATATGAAAATAATATTTCAATGACAAAGGTGAAGATGGCCGCGTTATCTCTAAATTGCTTCAGTATGATCCATGCTTTTGAAATGCTCTTTATGTCAAGTATTTGAAGGTTTAAAATTGTTTTTATTCACTTACTTGAATTGTGCTATCAGCAGTTGCTGTTTGTTTCTGAAGAGTTGTCATCTCTCTGTAAAAAATACATGTACATAAATAATGCTGCTCATTGAGTGCGGTACTGCTGTTTTTGGTATAATTGTAGTTTGAGCACAAGGTATCATAGTAACGAGTGGTGGTCAATGTAGTGTGCAACATGATGACAACATTGTAAATTGTTTTGAATCTCTAATAGCAATGCAAAATATACATGTATCAAGCTCTCTTACTTGTATGCATTGTCAAGAGCAACTTGCATGCTTCGGACTTTCTCAGTTGCATCCTCAAGTTCAGACTAAAAAAATTAGCAACAAAGAGCGATATAATTGGGCCAAAGAGTCACTACCATTGTTCTATGGGCTGTTACTATTAATATCTCAGATGGGAATATTCCCAAGCAAAGCACAAAACCATATTGCCCAAAAGCACAGACTGAACTTCTCATTATCAATTATAACAATAAATTACAAAGATATGACTAAATTGAGCTAAGCGACACAAGAAAATACTTCATTCCATGATATAAAATTTCATTATCAATGAGAACAATGAACGTTATAATGCCTACCGACTGTTTGTTGAGTTGTTCTTCTTGTTTCTTTACATACGCATTGAGTTTGTTGATTGCATCTGATATATAATATACAGAAATACTAATTAAAATTCATCACATAAATCATCTTCTTATGGAAATTGATAGAATGTTGTAAAAACTTAAAATAAATCATATGGACTTAGACCTACTAATTTAAAAATCAATTCCATAATAACAGGAAATCATCAATCACATGTGGTTTGCTTCACTTTATATGTAGGTTAAAAACTGACCTTCTTGCTTGGAATTATAGTCATCTCGAGATGTTAAGATATCTGTGAGTCTTTTCACCTCTTCCTCATATTCTTTAAGCTTTTTCCTTTTAAAGAAACAAGAAATGTTTCAAACTCTTTAGATATTTACATTGGCATATTTTAGCCTGCATGAAGCCAGTTTACTTTGTTTATCAAGGAATTCTTATTCTTTCATTCCTAAATGTTTTTTTTTTCACTTACGTTTGCTTTTTAATTAGATTTTCATTCTCTTTTTCCTTGGCTCTGAGTTTCTTAATGACTGTATTACTTTGAAGTTCTTGTTTAGAGAGCTTTTCACCTGTTAAGTCACATGATCAGTATACAAAGACTTACTGGAATGRATGAAATGTTTTAAAAGGTATGAGAATGACAATTATGTATGTAAAATATATCATACCTTCGGCAAGAAGTTGTGCAATCTGTTCATCTTTCTCTGCTATCAATGTCGTGTATTCTTCTTTTTGTCTGCTATTGCTGTCAAAGAAAGGTATGAACTGTCATGAGCAACAGCTTAATGTTTACCTTTTGTAACCCACAGGATGGTTACCAACCATTCCCCTAGACATTTCATGCCAGACAAGCAGCTCATGCCTGAGCAACTTCCCTTTCCTCTCCCCAATCCCTCTCTGTGTCCCCTYCTTAAGAGGGACTGATACCCAAGCTAGAGGAGATGCTTGAGTTTGCTATACTTACATTTCAGTGAGATGTGCAGTGGTTTCTTCTAGTTCAGTTCTAAGATTATCCCTCTCATTTGCTGCCTCATGGCATTTGTTCTCTGCTGTGGCAATTCTGGTAGTGAATTCCTCTCTTAATTCTTCAAATTCTTCATTTTCACCAGAATGTATTGTCTCTAATTGGTCTATTTGACTATAGAAGAAAATAACAACAATGATAGCTATAGCAATGAAGGCAATAACAATTATACAATGAATGATAATCATTATTTGATGAGTTTTTTAAAAAAGTAACTTCTCTAGGGAAATAATGACAATTAAGTATAATGATGAAAATAATACAAATATACCTTCTTAATATGGTATTGGTTTCTTGATAATCAATATTTTCTTTACTAAGAGAAACCATTTTGCTTTCTCTTGCATTGACAAGCTCTTTCAATTCTGATATTTCCTGAAGAAAAATATTGTATATGAATTCCAAGAAAGGGAATATAATCAAAGAGAAGAAAVAGAAAGGAAATGAAATGAAAAAGAGGAGGGAAAAGGATGAGAATGAGAGATATGAGCAGAAATTGAAGGGAATTAAAGGAAAGAGGAAGGGACGTGATAGAACTGAATATTATTCAAAACAGGATCCTGTTACAATGTACCTTCAAAAGCTGCTGTACTTGAAGGCTTTGATTGCCGCTTTCTGTAACTTCCTGCATATCACAATTACTTTCCTCTGTTGGTAATTCTACAGAAGATTTCTTGATACCTTGAACTCCTTCTTTTTCTTCTACAGGCTTTACTGTTTGTTCAGAATTTACTTCTAGATGACTGTCTTCATTGTCAATCATTGACTCAGAAGATGACTCTTCTTGTAAATCATCCTCTACCTTAAATAAAATTCCTTGTACTACTTCTTCTACACAATCACCTTCACTTGGCTCTTTTCTGCTTTCATTATTATCAATATAATCATTTGTTAAACTTGTTTGACTTGTTGATAATCCTTCAGCTGCACTGACTATATTACTATCTTGTACTTCTTCATCGATTATATCCAAGCTATTTTGTACTTCTTCAACTCCTATATCAATGGTATCGGTATTTTGTAGTTCTTCCCCTATATTTATAGTATCACTGTTCTGTATTTCCTGTCCTACATTGCTTGTATCAATATTTTGAACTTCTTCTTCTTCACTGACTGTATGACAACTTTGTTGTTCCTCTTTTAAATCGATTGCATCACTACTTGCCTCCGTAATTCCTTCATTTAGATGCTCACTTGGTTCCAATATTGCACTAGTTATTGTTGGTGTCTCTTTATTAGCAGTTGCTGTAGTTGTCGCCATAAGAAGTAAACTTGGTTCGACATCTGTGATACTCTCTGAGTTTCCATCTTCAATGTCATTATCTAACTCACCAGAACTTGTTATTTTTTCTAATTCAATTTTTTCTTGAGTTTTACAATCATTCATATCTACATGTACCTTTTGAGTGTTTGGAATRGATATTATTTCATTATCATCTCTATTATCGACCAAATTAGGATTTGTTTGCTCCAAACAAACATCCACAAAACTTTCCTCTTTTGTTACTGACTGACTTGCAACATTTTTATCCTTAATTAAGTCTGATCTTGTACTCTGATCAGCAGCAGGTTCTTGTTTAGAATTTGCTTTAAAATCTTTTATTCCCCTTGATTCTTTACTTTTAATATTTCTATTTTTCTTATGTGCTTTAATTGATGTGTTATCTTGTGTTGTCTCCAATAAATTTGATTTTCCACTAACAGCATTAACATCTTTTTTTATTTCTTCATCGGCATCTGTTTTTCCTCCAACATTTTTCTTGCTTTGCCTTTCAGTAGTTAGTCTTGAGTCTGACTTCTTGCGACCAAGGGGTTCTCTTGATTTATTAGACTTTTTATCAGGTGTTTTATTGTTTGATGATGCATTTGGAGATCCAAGAAATGATGACCAGAAATCGCCAGAATTATTATCTGTAGAGTCATATTGATCTTGTCTTTCTTTTGAAAGAGATTTTTGCAATGAAGAAGTTGGCTTTGGTGTAGAAGTTTTGAAGGATGAACCTTTCTGTGGCTCATTTCCTTTCCCTGCAAAATAGAAAGTCAACTGTTAGTTATTGATTGGTGTGACTGAATTTGCTTTGATATGGAGTGGAGCTGACAATAGCTATACTTGAGCAAGGCAATCTAATGCTGCATGGAATCTGTTTTCCTTGAATTGGTATATGTTACGTGAGAATTATAATACTTCAGAATCAAAATGATATTTGTTTGACATCAAATGATCTATTATGCAGAACAAACTGAAACATAGTAGAAAAAATATGCCAAATCTAATTGAATCAAGTTAACTTGAATATCAATATGATTTACGTTTATGTGTCTACGCTGCATTTGTAACTTTCGTTTTCTTATTTCTCAGCTGTAACCCCCCTGGCCAGTGTATCAGCTGACACAATACAATAATAGTCAGTGTCAGCTGTTGTGAGCCTTAAAAACCCGCTAAAAACTACACTGTCTACACTGTGATTATTCATTCATACCTATGGCTATCTTAGCAGTAGCTTGGGAACTGTCTGTCCCTGCAGTTCCACCATCATCGATGTCGAGTACTTTATCGATGGACTTTTGAGCGCTAGCGAGGGCTGTTTTCGCATAACTTGTAAAACTTGCTGCATCAAACCAACTCATCACGATTACATGTCAAAAAATAACCATAAAATAAAGCAAAAACCAGCGATAAATAGCAATTAGTTCAGGATTAGTTTTAAAATTGTTATCTCCATTTTGTTCTACGTCGGGAGACTGGGAATGTTTACGTGTCAAATGAGAGAGACTGGGGTTGATTGGTGGTTTTCGAGCATTGTGGGTAAAAATGATGGCGGACGAAATGCGTGTTCCATGTGAAATGCAATGTTGTTCCAGTTTATGTTGATCATTTAGTGAAATCAGTCTTTCTGGTATTATGGCTTGCCGTCACTTTCTTACTAGCATCTCTAGATCTTCTTTCAAGGTAGATATTGTGATGAATATGTGCTATGACAGCTATCATGAAAAATCATTTGGTTGCAGATCAGATCAGATCAGTGTACAGCCTTATAAAATAATAATCGCACAAATCCATTGAAATATAGACACACATTCATCTGAGGGGCTCACAACCCGGCCCACAACTCCTGCACCCCACTCCCCAAACTACCACCCCCCTTACCCCCACCCACCCAGTCTGGATACCATAAATGAAAATACAGTTATATTTTTCTGTGATTTGCATCATTTTTTTAGCATCCTCAAGTACAGTCTAAGATTTTAGGTGCATGCTATCCTACTATTGTTCGTCAGCCCGAGAGATTAGGGATAATTGGAGTGCGGCATACATCAAAGGGTAAGGTTGCTGCTGGTGCACCTAAACGAAAGTCAGTCCCTGGCTACAGAGTTGCAGTGACCAAAGGATTTGACTCCCAACATACAGGTAATACCAAAGACCACATATCTATTATCATGTTTATTGTTGTGATAAAATCTAAACATCGAGATGTGTTGTCCTTGTTGATGAGATTATGACTGAGGACTTGAGTCAATTTCGTATGAGTGGGAAATGTACGGTAGAAATTACCGCTCAGTTACCGCACCTGACCTGCACCATTTTTGTGAAGCAAAGAGACACTAGAATTTTTACAGTACGATTACTGTTACAGTACAGTACCGTCCGTTTCCCACTCATACAAAATTGACTCTATATAATGCTGAACAGTAACTAATTAAATACATCACTATGACAGGCTGTCACTAGAACAATTACCTATCACTACGTAAAAAAGATAATGGTTAACCAATTATACGCTGTTAAAAAGGGATAGAAAGCCTGATGCTTTGTTGTCCCTTCCTTATCTGCCAAACAACAAACTCTGAAATGTCAGTAAGCTTTTTATCTTTTTCTGGTGTATATCCTATGGCAAAACTGTTTTATTACATTCACACTAGTACAAGTAGTGATTTTCAAAGCTAACCTATTCTTCGTTTTAAAGTTACCCCACAGTGGCCATCTTGGAGGAACTTCAACAAAAGATTTCTCATTAGTATCTATTGTTCATTCCTCCAACATGTCCGCTTGTCTTTTATCTTTTGGATCTCATTGGAAGGGTTGTAACGATCAATAGATAGCCTCTTTACCACTGAATCATTGTATTCTTTACCTACGTTCTTTTTTCTTTCTTTTAGGAAGCCTTAAAGGAAGTTACGGAGCATCTGACAGACTTCTAGATGATATAATGATTCGCAAATACATTGATGGAGTGTTTTATGACCACGTATGCTCTGATATCATCATCAAAAGAAAAGACAATCGTATTATTATAGCATTTATTGTCCAAAGAGAATGCGATGTCAATCAGTTTTATTTCTTAACAGCAATGAGTGAAAAGTTGCTTAGCGAAGTGTTTGGGTGCATTGTAACCTTTGAGCCTCAGTCAGCAAGCCGATTATTGTATCAACCAAAGCCCAAGGCTTGATGTATTTTGGATGACACTGGATGGGATGGAGTTTTTGTGAATACCATTTCAGTTCTAATCCATTCCACATTGTTGAACATTCGCAATGGGAAATTGGAACAGAAATCATTGCTTATTGTCAAATTTACTTGATAATAATAAAAATAATAAATGCTATATACTTGTTTTAAATTGACATCAAAATATTACTATTTTTTCTGTAATATTGAGAATAAGTCACTAGTGTATTATGGGTTACTTTACATTAATATTTCATAATAAAATAGTCGTTTGATATGCTCAAAGTTCTGATGCACTGCCGTACATAGCTTGGCAAACAAACGATTCACAATATGAATCCAAATAATACTAGTATTGTATCTCATCTTTGGAACTGAACCCTTACTCTGCATAAATGACTGCTTTTCTATTTTGCCTTCTTTGAATAGTGATTATCTACTCCAAAAAGAACTCTTGTAGCAAATATTCGAGCGGCTTCATTATTAAAAACAGCCTTTTAATAAATTTCGTGTTTTTAATTTACTTTAGTCAATGTATACCTCGTTTCCATGGCAATGAATAACACTGCCGGCATAAAATCTAAGAATAATGACGTCGAGCTAAGACGCAATAAAACATTTTCTATAATTTTTCCGTTTTCCTTAGAACCATATTTTGAGTCTTTGTACTCTAATAAAATTATCCTTCTTGCTACTCTGGAATGGTATGCGCTCTTGGCTTCACAGTTGGTGTATGAGCACAGTGTATTTTTCTCTTGATTTTGCCCAAAACACCTGGACTTTGTGCCTTGGATTTGAGAGTTCGTCTTGCTAAGAAATTATTTCTTTCTTCTTTACTTGAAGAATGCCGATTAGAGCTCGTCGCTGATAGAAATATCATACAAACTTGGAATAGCAATAAGAATACCATGAGATACATGAACCAGTAACAACTAATAAATTTTCCAAATGTCGATAGAAGAGTCGAGGCTACTAATCCAAAACAAATGTCATCAAACATTGTGAATTCACAATGTATTTATATAGAAAACCAGTCAGTGTTCGGTTTCGCAAATAAATTATACTTTTCACATTTGTAACGGAGTAGCTGGAGTTCTTGAACTGGCTGAAAAACACAAAACTACCACAATTCCTTTTTCCACCGCCAGCGGCGCAGTAGCACCAACAAGATATTTTGCGGCTGTCAGGTTGAACTGGACCTAATTTCAGGGAATATTGGTCGCTGAGACAGAAGCTCACTGTACTCACGGTGTGTATTGAAAACGATGTGTCATCACCATAACACTGTAAGCGAACAGATGTTTCACTCCCTTGAGAGTTTGGTTCCTGGGTGTTTATAAAACTCAATACAATGTGTGGAGTTTCACTTGCCAGCGTTTGAAAATATAGGAAGAGTAATGATAGTTTATTTAACAACCAGTGTTTAATATTTAAGTTGCTAAGGCTTGTTATCAAATTGTAGGGAATTGCGCTACTAATTAGGGAAATTGCCTATCGCATGATTATTAATCAAGGGATGAGAGCCAGCTGTATTGAAATGGGAAACGGAAATTGTGAATTWAAAAAATTGCATTCAATGGTCACTATGAATTTGTTTCATTTTAATTCGTGGATTGCATTGTCTTGATCTCCTAAGTGCCCAGTAAGTTTCGATTCTACTAGTATCGATACAAGTAACTTTGTTGAATCTCCATCAGTGACATTAGTATAAATGTTTCACTTTTTAAACTTGTGTTTTAAAAAACTTAGACATAACAATGCTAGTAAAAAAGCGCGTTTAGGCTGAACGAACATTGCAACCAATCTCCCCGAGTAACAACACTAACAATTTACAAACTAGATTAATTTAACCTAACATAGTTAGTATCACGCGATTTCATTTAATGCATGTTGACAGTAGGAAGACAAAATCACTAATTGGCCCAGACTACCTGTCCTTTTCCCCCACGCGTGTATAAAACAGTGTCACACATAAAAAGATTCTGATGTCAGTTTATTTTACTCAGTTTTTTTTTCATTTGGACACTAATTTGGTTATTGAATCCTACAACTCACCCTGAACTGGTAAATAAACAATAAATGAATAATAATAAAACAATATATAACAAAGGGAAAAATAATCAATAATTTGACCAGATCGAGGCTGATTTACATCCTAAATGGAAACTCATTTACGTTCGATACATATTGCAAAATACTATAAATACGATAACCTAGTGAGGGATGACAAATAATGTACTTTCCAAATGAATTAGGTCAAATCAACTTGTCATTTAAATACTATATTGTATATCTGATGACCAGTTCTATTATAACGGGATCCTGATCTACAAGGGCTCCTACATATTTTAGTTTCCAGTGTTCAAGTCAACTTTAACCATGAAGACTGGGCATAATCAAAAAATAACTTTGTTTTTCTGTACTGCAATGTAAGGTGACATTTAAGTCTGGTTTACATGAGCAAGACTAATTTTAATGAGGCAGTTCATGTGTCTAAAGTGTACACACAAATGTAAGTGAAAAATGTCTATTTCCTCTGCTCATATGAACCAGGCTAAAATTTTGAAATACAACAACCCATTTCCTATTAATCATAAAAAGCTTTTTCACGCAGTATTCACAGATGCAGGGAAATCATAAAAGTTTTCGCCTTTGTTACCCAGCAGAAAATTATCTTTGACACCTACCAGTAATAACCAAAGATGCCTTTTGCAATATTATTGCATGCTAAGCAGCACAAGCAATAATAAAATTTGCAAAAATAAGTAAGATTAAGTGTACAAATACAAAATCTTTGATTTCACTTATCTGACCTTTCAAATAATAAATAAATAGCTGCCTGACAGAGTGGACATTTTGGCATTAGTTTGGTGGAATGATAATTATTGTGTGAATATCTGCGTTCTGCTATATGCATTAAAGAGTGGCCACCACATTTTCTTTCTCACTTTTTGAGTTATAATGTCTCAATTGCATGGGCAATAATGGCATTTCTACTAGTAAAATGAATGAGCCAAATAAATCACAGGTTGCATTTCATTGTTATCTAAACATTTCCAAAAGATTTAAAAGTCTTGCCGCCATGTTGTCAGTATGTACAAGAGACAATGGGATCCTTTGTTCATGAACCACCAACTTGCCTGCTGTGGTGCTACATGACAACTAGTAATAATTTTGCACATTATTGCATGAATGCTTACATGGTCATAATTTAAGTAGAAATGTCAAGATTGCCTTTTCAATAAGAACAAGAAAGAATACTAAAAAATTGGGTGTCAGCAGTTTGGAGTCTTCCATACATTCATTTAACCAAATTGTTTTTAAATTATGTTTCGTGTTAAATTAACTGCCCATGTTAATCCATTCTGTGTAGTATTTCAACGCTGTTGATTAGTATCTTTCTTCTTTGAAAAAAAAAAGCTAATAGAAAAGTAAATCATTTTATGTTAATCTCCACTAAAAAAATACCATAAAATGAGATTAACCTGGGCATTTCATGAAATGTCATTATTATAAAGAATTTTGTGAGACTCTATAATTGTAGAAGGAGTTTTCTACTTTTCCTTTCATGTCAAATCTCATGTAATATTTTTCCAAACAATGTCAATGGTATCAGTTTCTGGTACCTTTAAAAGCTTTTTCTGTAGTTTGGGTTCAGTTTTAGACTGTGCTGTCAATTTGTGCTACATCTTTACCACACTGTCCATGTTCCATGCATACAAAGCAGATTCTTGCATAAAGAGTTCCAAGTAGCTCTGTCAATGAGCTATACTCACACACAATGACAGTCACTGATAGCAAATCCACTCATTTGTCTAGATGAATGGCAACAATAATACTATTTTGTACATTTAAGAAGTCATTCTGCTGTATTTTCCTTGGATATAATTTCTGATTCGGATTTAAACTTTTTCACATTAGGCTCGTTTTCAATTGGAGTTGGATTGAGCATGCGTTTGGCACTATTCATCACCATGGACACAGCTGCTGTGGTAGCAGAAGGAGACAAAATCCCCAAAGGAGAGGATTCAGGTGTAAGGGTGGTTATGTTTGTCATGACAAGAGGTGCTGGTGGCTTTGGTTTTTGCGGTGGGTCTTGGCCTGTAGGTGAGACATTGGTTGGAGTGAGTGCAGGAGTGAGTACACCACCTGGCAAAAGAAGAAGTTATTTGACTACTTTGTCCAAAGTTGAAGAAATTAAAAAAATAAAACAGGAACATGATTATGAATCAACACCATTATTAAACAATGAATCAATAACACAACAATCAATCAATCAAAGTACGGAGCTGTAGTTCAAATAGAAAAACTCAAATCAAATAATCCAGCATCTGAAAATAAACTTAACAAGAGGTCAATTGAGATCAATGTTTGAAAGTTAGTAAATGTACCTGAACTAACAACTAGTGAAGTACCCGAAGGAAACTTCTGCACTACTGGTGAGAATATCTGCTTGGAATCATTGCTTGGAATCTTGGGACAATCCAGTGGTGATTCCTCCCCAGATGACTGAGACAGGCCATTCTTTTCAGGTTCACCCACTTCCTGCTTGATGGCATCTGCAGCAGTCTTAATAACACTGACAGGAAATGCAGAGGCTGGTATCAGCTTTGTGGCAGGAAGGTGATGAAAAGCAAACTTGGCAGGAATTGGTTGGAAATGGTGCATTGCACTTGCAACAGTATGTTTTGCAATGGGAGAAGATACTGAAGTATTCAACTGGGCAGATGCAGCATTGAGAGTTGTATTTTCACTTGCTGAATGAGGTGGAGCAACAGTTTTAGTTGGTGATGTCTCATGAGCTTGAGATGTTGGTGGGGTGGATGGAGGTGGTAGTCGATTAGGAAGACCATGAGTTGGTGACACTGGGGCTGACCTGGTGGTTTCAAAAATACCATAGTTAACAATCCTCTTTTAACATTTTATTCTTAGTTTCATGTATATCATGGATTAAGATAGTTGTGTCCGCTATTATTGTCCATTTTGTATGTGGGATAGGAAAGAGAAACTTTCAAATACCATTTGAAAAAAGGAGGAATACCCAAATGAAAATAAATTCATGTCATGTTATCATCAGTTTAGTTTTTCAATTGTATTTTCTCTGATAATTTGATTAAACGACAAGATTATCACTGTTAGTAAACAAAAAATTAATGTTAGTCAAGTATCTTACAAAGAACAGTGTTTTTCCTTACCTGCAGGCAGCAACACCAAAAGGAGGCCTAAAGCAAGGAACCCCCCTTTGTCTTCTTTTTCTAAATGCTTGTTCAGCAAGTTTCTGTTCACAAGAAGGATCAATTCTCCAAAATGAGCCTTTTCCTGGCTCATCTTGYGCACGGGGCACTTTGACAAAGTATCGATTTAAAGACAAATTATGCCTTATGGAGTTCTACAAGACAAGAAAAGCAAAGATTATAAACTAAACACTTTCAATACATGAGGATTGAGCTGTGTACATCCATGTTTTTTTATGTATTTTGTTGAACATTATTTTGCTCTTTGTACAATTGGCTTTAATTACAAGCAAAAACAGATGGAAAAAATGTTTTTGTTTAATATTTGCATTGATGACTAGACACAAAAGTTATCTTGTCAAGTGTAAAGTYGCTTTCACTTAGTTACCATTAAATATCTATGATTTGTCATCAAYAGAGAATAATCTATACCATGAACACTTATATTAACATCAAATCTGACACTAAGTGCACTTTTCTTGTCAAATAAACACACTCAAATGAAATGGATATCATGGTAATGCTCACCTGCCATCCCTTATCTGCAGTACGATAATACGGGTAATTCTTTGTTATATGTGCATATATTCCACTAAGTGTTAACTGTTTATCTGAAGCTGACAAAATGGCTTGGACAATYAGTTGTGCATACGAATATGGAGGTTTGCCATCATCTTTATTCCCACCAGTGTCTGCACTGTTACTTGTTTTTGATTCTGAATGAGATTCATCATTCACCGAGTTTGCTGAGTTAACAGCATACTCTGCTACAGCCTGCAAGCTGTTAACAAACTTGTGATCTTCTCTAGTGTTGCTTGGACTGGCTGGACATGAGTTAGGAACACTACAATCAAATGAAAAGTAAAAATTTAAAGAGATAGGTTTTGAGTTCATTTTCCAAAACAATCCATTTTTCCATTTGCTGCTACACATAATGTAGATTTTACTTAACATCATCAAAAAGTATACAATTTGATCTACTATATTCTACCATCACTATTTTTTAGTTGAAAGAATTGGTTTCTATACAGATCCAGTCATTGTTTTAGAGACAACTAGCAGCAAGTTCAAAATACAAAGTGTAAAGATCCTTTAATCTTAATTTTTACGAAAAGAAACATCTTTTTTATCACAATATCATATATTTGAATATTCATTTGTCAAGAAAACACTTTTAGTCAAAACAAAATTCATTTTAAACACTTTTAACTTAATTACAACAATTCATAATTGATTGGGGATTTTGCTTTGTATGCAAAATCAAAAAAATATCTAAATAGCCAGCAAAGGGGGCAAAATCTACTCATTGTCTAGTACAATTTGAATAAAGATCAAGTGTAGACATGAGCAGGTGAATTTCCTTGTCATAAACAAATGATTCACACAACGATAAAGTAATTCAGTAATCAAAGCATTGTTCAAGGCTGTGCTAATAAACAGTTTATAAAGCAACATTTTCATGTTGAAGAAAGAGTGTAAATCAAATGCAAAAAATGCTGTAATATACCCAAGTATGAAGTTAAGAGCAATGTAAACTACCCTAAAGATAAAGATCATATAAAACAGGAAAGAGTGACATAATGTCTGGCTGGTTGAGTGGAAATCTTTAAAAGGAAAATTGAAAGAATAAAAACACTATCGGCACGGTAGACGGCTGCAAGACTTGTTTATTTGTTGTTTCAATCAAAAACAACATTGAATAGTGGTTTAAAATAGTAATACTTATATCAAAAATATATGAACAAATCAACAATTTTCAAAATTACTGGATATGCTAGCAAAATAGTCAATTTTGTAAGTATATTTAGAAAATGTTCTTACAACCCCCCAAACCGCGTAAACTACAGGTACATGCACATCGTGATTTTGAAACACAAATGTTACTAGTAGATAAAAGTTTTCATTATTTGATAAATCGTAATTTGAAAACTAATTCAGATGTTTTAAATACTGTCTGGTAGTCTACAAAGTTTTTGTACATTTCAAACAATAGCAGACCTGTTTGGCATCATAACAAAAACAAACTAGCTTGGATCAAGCGATCAAAGGAACACATACACATCAAAAATGATAAAAACAAGACTCAAGTATTCATGTGATTTCAAGGAATTGAGCAAGAGAAACACAAGTTGGAATATAACGAAACAAAAGTGACAATTGGGGTGCGCGGGTCACGGAAAACGTGATGGTCAAACTCTTCAGATTACAAAGAACGCGTGATCACACAAGGATAGAACATGATTTTCCTCGGGAATTCGATCATAATTAACTTCCATTTCTCAAAATAAAGATTCTAGAACATAAGAACCAGAGCATATGGTGTGATTCCAAAGGTGAACTACGATTTCGACATCAAAAAATCAAAAACTGCACGTGGTGTCAAAATGAACTCATTAGTTTTGTTATTTGTGTATTTCGCAATACCAACAAATACAACATTGCAGAGAGATTCAACCTCAGTAGATTTCTTAAAAATACTTTCCATTTAACAAAGAAATGGCTACTTATTGGTAGACATATCCTCAGACATAAGATAAAGTTGTTCAACATAACAAAAACTGCAACGAAAAATTATCACAACACTGAAAAACAACATTGAAAAATAATATGATTCGTTGTAATCAACTATAAGACAACACAAATCAGCTTTGAGAATTAATGAGGACTCTACATAATAACYCAATAATGAAAATTATACCTGATAGTCCCTGTAGGTGATGGAACTGGAGAAGAAAATACACCATCATGTTCAGGGATGTTGATCTTCAGCGGTGCCAACATCTTTGTTTTGGGGGGACTCGGTACTCGACGAGGAGTAGAGTCGTTAGAGCTAAGCAGTGAAGTAAATCTTATTTTCACATTTGTAGAAGGGAACCTCAGCACACAACTGGAAACAAAAACACACCGGTGAAACGATGCACTACATTAAAATCATTGTGGAAGCTAAAACTTCGCGAAAAGTTGACTTACGTGGGAGATAGTTTCAATGGAGGAGCACCACGTCTTGTGAAAACACCGTCCACAAAGATCCCATTTTTTCCGTTGCAAGACAAGTAAAACTGTCCTGAGTCGTAGCGAATCTCAAGATGTCTTCTAGACACAAAACTAGAATGGCCCATGTTGACATCCACACTTCCAAGGCTACTATTTCTACCGATGATGATTCGACTTTGTCGTACAAGATATTCGAACTCGCGACCTTCAAGTTTGGCTATTGGGGTGACATTGTTTACTCCGAACCAAGCAGGCTTGACAGGAGATGGCTTGCTTGCCTTTAAAGCTAGCAAAGCCAATGCGTCACTTTCTTGATCTCTACTCGGCGAAGACATAATTCTTGGAGCAAGATCGACTTTCTTTCCTCTCAAGTCGCAAATTTGATGGAGAAAGCAAAACAACAACACGAGGAGAAACATACGGGAACTGTCAAAGTCAAAGTACTACCTTTTAAGGAATTCATATCCTTATATGGTTATGTTTTGTAAACAACGGCCGGAATTTTCCTTTTGAAGTGTATTTTTTTCCCTCGAAAAAAAAAAATTGAAATATCAACTTGATATTTTTAAAGCACATAGGAACATGTGAAACTACATAGACAGAGATAGAATTTATTTTCAATGACAAAATTGCAAAAAAAAAACAATCTCCGAAAAAAACCGGCTAGCTTACTTCAACCTACTCATTCTTTATTTGTTTGTGTATTTTTTCCGTAAGATGACACGATATGGTAAACAATATACATGTACCAGTACGATTTACCAGTTGAGGGACCAAGGACTAGGGGAGGGAGGGGAGAGGAGAGGTAGTTGAGGGGAACGGGAATGACTCGACAAAGGGATCCCGCCCGTCCATGGAATTACTACTGAAAAGTGGAAGACTTGCCTTGAATGGAGCGACACAAAATAAATATACCGTTCACGAAAGGACCACAATTTGTTATTAAGATTAAAATTCTTTTTTTTTAGATAAACTATAACCCTAAGCTTTCCTTGAGTTTTTTCGTGTAACTCTTTCTTTACGCGTGACAGTGCGTTTTAAGTTCGGATTACGTGACGTCGATACCACATACTTTTTTACCACCTCTAGTGTTTTCATTGTCATCAAACCTTTGGACTTATTTATAACTGGCCGACGCTCTAAAGCGTAGCCGTACATCGGGAAATCTACTGAGGTATAGTATGATGGCATAGCTTGCACAATGCGCGATGACCTCCATTTTCTTTCCTTTCTGCTGAAAGTCAGACTGGTGACAGTCCTCCATGTCTCGCTATCTGTAAACTGCTCTTTGACTACCAGGAACAGCTCTGCTGCTTTGATACAACGGTTCGCTAAGTCTTGTGGGACTGGTGATATAAACCAATCGTTGTCTGCGCTCTCCCAGTCCAGTGAAGATGAAGAAAACAGTGTGCTGGATTTGGACAAGGCTTGTTCCTTGAACAAAACATGGTATTGCCACATAACTGATATTGCAATGTAACTCATATCAAAAGTGAGATCATTTTATTACTGATTCAACGTCCCATTACTATCAAAAGTTTGCTTATAATCATCGACATCATTTTCTCAGTTCATTTCACTGGCTACATCATAGGCCGCCCAACTAATGCATTAGAGACAGAAAAGAACGAATGCGTACGCTTTTATTATGTATATATATATATCGGCGCGCGCTCTTAGCAAAAATGCGGATTACCTGTGGTGTTACGTCACTATCTCACGCCTCGCGACTACATACTAATCTGTCTCTAATGCATTAGTTGGGCGGCCTATGGCTACATGTCGTCACACAGTCATATTTTTGATTTCACAGTTTATCATGCAAAGTATGCTTCTTTTTCAGGCGCGAAGAAAAATGCKAGCTCCGAGCACAAGGGTGGAGSTTTTGCAGGGAGCTATTGAAAAGGAACTTTGTGACACCCTACATATATTCATTAACCCGTATGATRCAACCCATGACATAGACTGCCATACCTTCACCAGGTCATGACCGCGTGTTTCATCATGTTTTATAATAGGCAGTGCATGGCGGAGCGGCGGGATGTATACACTGTTCGGTACAGACGCAAAGGTAACTTTACGATGTTTTTTCAGTGGTATTCCACCATAGTACGAAAATGCTGCCCTTACAACGTGAAACTGACAGAGAAAAACAAAAACAAAAAATAAATGCATGAACAAATGAATGGGATAAGTTTCCACGACAGTTTAAATACTGGTTTGTATTATGTACAAAATCACAATCTACGGAGTTTTAATTTCCATGATGGTACCTTGCCTATTTCTCCCTGTGCCATCCGGCTTTCTTCTTCACTTAGAGAAGATGACGTTTGAGTGCCGTTTTTCATGCGAAATTTTCTTGTAGTCATAACTTTTCCGATTATTTTATTCTGGACGAGATCATCAAAACAATCCAACAACTTATGCAAAAGCTCTCCCTCGCAAATTCGTAATCTTCCTTTCCAGAAACTTTGGTGAAGGAARTGCCAGAAATCCACCACATCCATAGGCATTGCTTCGCTACGTTGCTTTAAATCAGAAGGRTCTTCCACATATACCATCGACAAGTTCAATTTCGGTACATCYTCGGTGACTTCATCAAGATCCTTTCGTTTTCGTCGCCGTCGTTTCAGCTTTCCTAAAGTTCGCAGGGATAATTTAGTTCTTTGTCTTAAAGCCATTTCGATTGAACTTAGTTTTGGCTTTTCCTGCCGACGACGAGACTCTACGACCTTATCCATGGTTATGACGTCAATAGACGTAATCATCACAATTGGTGACGTAGAARCGCGTCATTCTACGAGCGCGCTACTCATGATTATGACCGAGCTTTGACATATTATGTCAACTAAGGYGTTGAACTGATACCACTGTAATAACAAGCTCATGCAAGGTGCAGATCGCCACAGATTAATTAAAGATGTTGACAAGTATAAATGATAACCGCGCTTCATCCATCCACGACTGTAAAGCTCTCGATGGGACTTCGAGATCTCTTGCCTATGCGACGTTTCGGGGCTTTGATGTCTGGATAGTTTTTTTTCTCGCTTGCCACTTCAAACATTGAACTGCTTACACGAGCAAAGGCTGGGTTCGACTATTGAACATCAAACGAATTAATTTCCGGTTAATTAAATTGACAAGACCACAGTCACGATAATCCCTTGAAAATATCATAATTATATATTTATTTTCCATAATTTCCTAAAAACCTATCCATTTTGTTTTTATTTTATCACCGCCAATGTTTTATATACTTTCTGAATCTTTACATATATAAGCCACTTTAAAACTTATTTAACATATATATAAGTTATTAATCAAGCTATCTATAAGGGAATAAAAGTCTTAATTGTTCCAAGAAAATCCAGGTTATGATCGTATGAGGTGCTAATCGAACCCAGGCTGGAACAAAACCCTGTGGACAAAATACTTATTATCAACATCTTAATATTATGATGAAATAAAAATACTAATAATTAATGGATATATCTGAATAGAYGCAAAGATGAATGGGTTGATGGACGAGCAGGGGCGTATCCAGGATTTTCATTTTGGGGGGGGCCCTTACATACCAAATTGTCACTGTGATGTCATATGACATCAATATGATGTCATATCAATCTATGGTTTTCGTGCTTTTTTGGCTTTGAAAGGGGGATCACATGCACCCTGTGATCCCCCCTGGATATGCTCCTGATGAGTTAATGAAACAAAGCATCTCAAATAGTCGTTTTAATGGTGGATGGGCAGGTGATCATTTGACAAATGGGATGAATGAATGAATGGAAGAAAGGATGAGTAAATAAGCAATGAAAGCTATATACCTTATAAAAACCCATTGGTCCTAGTTTAGCTGTGTACACTAGACAAGCCAATGTATTCTGCAATGAAAATAAAGCATTATTAGACTAAATATCTGAGATCTAACTATATGCCCTGTACAGTACCTTGTACTGCCCTGGTCTTGCTTCCATCAACCTTGTTTTCATAACATCAAATGGTTGTGTGATGCTTGTTGCTATGGTACCCTGAAAAGCAATTGTTTCATTTGAAAAATGTTAGCCTATGTTCAGCTGAACTAAAACATTTTTGGWTCGGCTGTGCACAGGCTAAAAATTGATATTATTAGAAATTATATTATCAATTGTTAATTAATTATCATTAAAATTATTAAAACACTATTTCTTTTAAATGAATAGTGGATAGTTTCTATTGAGCAAAATGTACTTACRGCAATGAAGCTGGCTGTAAAATGGGTGTAAATATTGTCTTTGAAATATCTGGCAAACAGATATGCTCATATAAATATGTCATTGACTGCACATGAGGGCTTACAGTATGTCAGAGAGATTTATGCATATATTGGTAGCTATACACCCTTTTAATAAGTCCCGAGGTTTTGTGTTCTCCACACTTGACGTCAAATTTATTCTTTTGAATTCCAAAAGAAAATTTCAAAAGAATAAATTTGACGTCAAGTGCGGAGAATACAAAACCTTGGGACTTATTAAAAGGGTGTATAATGGCCAATAAAAAGGTGGTAATGATCAAGTCATGGTAGTCATACAAGGAATCTACATGTAGCTTACCCGGTACTCAGTAAAATCTGTTTAGTTTGGTMATAGCAAGCAACCTGTAAATTATGTCATAAGGAATAAATATTGATATAGTATCATTATAAAGATTACAATGGTGGCTAGTATTTAACTGTTGGAGTASACTATCATCAGAGTTTTATTTAGATTAATACCTTCATAAATTGCATATAACACATATAACAATCTGAACATTGGGTACAGCTGAAGATGGTCTATCTACAAAACTAGTCATATGGCCACAAATGTATATCTTGTGGTTGCTATACCTGGGCTACAGTCATAAGTAAAGCTCTTGTGGATGTCATGGTGACACCGTTCATCCAGGCTGGCACACCCTCTTATTTATAAAAAAAGAATGACATTGATTAGCATATGGAAAGAATTATTGGAAATTAAAACAAATTTAAACATAGGAATAGGACGAAAGAAATGGGTAGGAATGGAATAAGAATCAAAGGAAAATGAAGAACTGAATGCATAAACTGTTGATGARAGAGATTGAGGAACAAAAGAGCTAAGATAGTAAGGAAATCCACAGAAGGAGAGGGGAAATAAGGAGAAGAGGGGATGAGAGCTTGGAAGTAAAACAGAAGGATTATGATGGCAAAAAGGAGACAGTCTGCAAAATAAAGACCTCATAAACAAGTTAACAGGACAAGAAAGATAAGAGAAATAATGATGTATCTGATTTCCAATAAAAAACGCCTACCTTTTGAAGCACACTTGTACAATCCATCAAAGACATTTTTGTAACTGAAATGAAATATTAGCAATCACAACATTACTATTTCATGCAAATTTCAAGCGATTTTTTGTCATATTGTGGTTCCAATCATCAAAAATTAATCAAATGATCCCCCTTTGCTGGTAAGAAGAATTGCACTTACTTTCTTCTTTTGTCCAAAGGCAGTTTTATATCGTTTTGCATCCTATCCACAGACAAAAAATCATTAATAGATGCATTGAGTCGAACAAAGAACATCATGCAAGGTTCTCAGGGAAACCTTACCTAACATTGATCATATCAGCTGGGTTTCCAACAATACCACCAATAAATCCTGGCAACAATAATGTACATTAGAATATAGGTAATTCTAATTTTTGGACACTACACTTTTCCCATTGCCTAGTCGCAGTCATCCCTTCATTTTTCACATTTTAGATCACTAGGTATCATCTTGGCTGAGCATAGTCCTTGTCCCAACACTAAGAAATGAACCCAAACCCTAACCTAGTCTTTCTTTTCTCTTCT